ACAAATGCTTAGAAGCCGTAGTAAATCCAATATTTTTCAGATTTTTAATAAATTGTCTTTACGTATGTTTACATAAAAAATATGTCCAGAATTAAGAAGTCGCTGAAAATCATAAAAGTAAGTAATCATTGTAATTATTGTGGTCATACTTATGACTTAAGTATTTGATTTTAATATTTGACAATCTACAATGTTTATAATATCTGTGTTCTATTAGTCAAAAAATCTTCTTTTATAATATACATGTGTTATTATTTTATTTTGTTGTATTGAGTCAAGACTTCAACATCTGAGGTCATTAGCCTGAAGGTTATTTTAGTCAGTTTTCTACTGTGGAGGAGGGAACAAGTATGCATATGTGGCAAGAATTTGTCACTAAAAACCCGGGTGGTTACCCATCCGGGAACCAGTGACATCGGCTAATGCTTGATCTCAGAACACGTAAGTGACTGAGGCCAATCCCTACATCTCAGGCTTTATTATATTAAGTGAAAATATACAGGATCTTTCAGATGTCGTGTGACTAAAATGGTGAGGATTTTGTTGGGTCTTACGCAATTTTTACCATTTTTGTCACACTCAATTTGAAAGACCCTATTGCATTGCATATAGGAATATGATATATATGTACCAAAGACCAAACGTATATTTACGTATTTATCTGGAATGATAAAAAAGCAAAGCTATGTTTACGAAGAGATTCCGATTTATTATTAACTATATAGGTACAGTCCACAGTTGGTAGTGTTATAAGTTATAACTAGAGGCCGGATTTATATTAATATGCATATCTATTCTAGTTGATCGTATATGATTATTTGCTAAGTGATCACAACATTTGTTTCAAGGTATAACGTTTTAAAAAATGAAACTTTTTAGTGCATATTTGGACATTTACTATTTTTTTATATTTAAGGGCTTTTTTACAATTTTAATTTCATGTTTCATCTTTTAGTGCATACTTCGATGTTTTTTTTAAGAAATGTTTGAAATATATACTATTGTAATACAATAAGAAAATAAAATTATATTTTTGTAGTTTTGATTAATATCAAAATAAGCTAATAGGTATACTTGTAAAGTTGTAGCCTGAAGGTATAAACGGTTTTTCTCAAAGATCAATAATCGGTGAAATAAAATACGTATACCAAGATAAGAAAATATCGATTACTACCATTGACTATTGACATTATTTCAGAAAAAAATTAAGAAAAGCATTTATAGTAGGGTTTCATAATTTTAAATATATTGTTACAATTGAATATTCAAAAAATACATTTTTTTTGCTAGTTTTTTATGCATTTTATTTTCATGTATATTTCAACAATATTTTGCCGAATACTTAAGATTTTTAGCTTATATTTGATTGGTTTTTATTGCGTATAAATCTGCTCTCTAGTTATAACTTTTACGAAATAAATTAAATCAACGAAACAATATGTTCCTGGTCATCATAAAATATTCAAAGCTGCATAAGATGGGTCCTACATACATTAAAACGAATATTTTGTTGTCAAAATCGTTGTAAAACATCGGCTCGCTAATATTGTATAATATGAAGTGTGAACACATTCAACTAGTTAACAAATCGGAAATAATGTATTGTAATATAGCGCGCTATATGCACATCGTGTTTATAAAAATGATGGCGGTGAAAAAATATTTATACTTATGAAACCTGTTAGGTGTGATGCCTAGAAAAAACACCGTGCTAACAATGGGAAAAAAAATGCAATGTGTTTCTAATTAAAGTAGAAGGAAACGTTAATGGAAAAGACGATAAGAATAAACGTCGGAAGGAAGGAAGGAAGGAGGAAGGAAGGAAGGAAGGAAGGAAGGAAGGAAGGAAGGAAGGAAAGAATGCCTGAACGTACTTAGTTATTAGCCGACACGGATGAGGACGAGGTGAAAAAAATTCAGAACGGGGGAGTGCATAGTGAAATGTTGGATGGATGGACGGGAACGGCAGCAAACACGGCACGTATGTTTTCTCCGCCGCCCTCCCCGCACCCACGGCGACTGCTGCCCCTATATATACCTACCCTGCTTTCGGTTTCCACGTCGCAATATCCTATCCGACCAATCCGGAAGTACTCGAGGGGAGTGATTTGTCGTGGGCGCCGGTGCCCGATTGGTCGTCATCGATTTTTCCGACGCCGCGCCCCACGCGCGTCCACCGTCGTCGCACGAGCGGCTCCCTTACGAGGCGCGCTGGCGATACCTCGACTCCACCAGCGGGTCAGTTGTACTATCGCGTCTGGTCTGATATCATTCTCTCCCGATTGTACGTCACCACACCACCAAGCTATTTCAAATCTACACACACTAATATATAGGTACAAACGTTGTAGATATATATACATATATATATATATAAATTAATAAATATATAAAGTGACACACGAGTACCATTCGATTATATAAATAACATATAAGTATAAAGTTTCGGTTTAATCGAGATCGTACTTCGGCACGCACTATAATACGTATGGCACTGTCGGAAATAATCGTAACGATCGGGTGAACGATCTACCGCGTGAATTATGTTGGACATCAAAACATCGGATTACCTGAGCAGAAATGGGACGTTTCCCAACTTATCAATGATTTTTGCCGGTACGTGTTTGCATTTTTAGATTTTAATGACAAATAGCATACTGTAATTTATAAACTCAATAACTACAATATTTTTTTAGTTTATATTATTAGATTATTGTACCTACTATCAAACATGTTCAACTCCTCCACTCACAACCACATAATATTATAAACTATACCACTCATTTCTTAATATTAATTTACTTGTAGCTTTATAATTGATAATGTCTGTTATCAATATGTAATTATATATAGCTTATGAACTATTTTATATATGTGGCAAAATAATAACCTAGGTCCTAGGGTATGTTTTAATAATGTAAAATTAGTAAGAGTTTAATGAAATAAATAAAAAGGTCTAGGAAGTCTCTCTGCTGTATAGTAAGTTTAATGTCGCTATTAACATTAGGGTTATGTTAAATTTCAATTCAGTGATAAATCATTGCATATGGAAAACGATTCTGAGCCAATAATGTCTGTCAACCTCAGTTTTTAAGGATATTATTTACTAATATTATGTTATTGCTAGTATATTATTCTATAGATAAGTTATGTGCTAGGCTTTAAATCTAACTTTTTTCAAAATCATTGAATATATTATATTATAATAATTGTTATAAGTTATAATATTATACCTCATATTATCTTATCAACTTATAAGTAAATACTGACGGACCGTAGAAGGTAGAACTGTGAGATATATATTGGTTTGTGATATAAATTATTCAGCTTAAAACTAATCTGAAAATGTATAATACATGAGACGAAACTATCTACCCCCTCCCTATAAGAATAGTAAATCACAAGAAAATAACTAAAAACGTGATTTTTCGCTTAAATATCCAATGTAGGAAAACATTTTTAAGTTCAAATGTCTATTAAAAAAAATTGTGTACATATATTTTTAATATTTAAAATTTGTGTAAGAACTACTTATATAAAGCCTTGTATTACGTTTCAAGCTTTTTTACTGAAAAAAGTTTTCAACAAATATATTTACCGTAAAAATTAAAAACAATTAGAAAATTTCAAATGTTTGTATAAATATCTTCAAATGCCTATATGCTATATAAAGTGTAAATAGATTAATTTGTGTTATATTATGTATAGAAAGTTAATATTTAGAAAAAATTTCAAATCATTATATTTATTAATTTTTCAAAAAAAAAAAAAATTTATTTTGTCAAAAACCGTTGTTGCGTAAATATTCCAGTTTTTCTATAATTTTGTTTTAGTTTTACCCAAACATTTTTTACTTTTCACTCAAAGTCGTACTACCTAACTAGATTTCATTTTCATTTTCAATAATTCATACATATCTTAGCATAGAATCTTAGACAAAGCTGTGAACGGAATCATTTATTAAATGTATAATAAATATGTCAGTTTATAAACCTACCTAGTGGCTATAGTATTAAGATATATCTGAAACTTTAAACAAGTTAACAATGTATAATATATTATGGCATACTGATTACTGATAAAATACTTCTTTTAAAAACTATATGTATAGACGTAAGTATAGAATGCATAGTATACAATATTAGGAATATATTAACACAAGGAATTATAATATTTAATCTTAAGATAACACAAATACATGGAAATTATCTTCTACACTCACATGTAACGAAATTGCATATCCCTTTCGCCGACCAAAATAAAATCATTATTTATTAATTAGTTATTATTTTATCAGCTGTATTTATTTTTTTTTGTAGTAATCCTATTACCACTATAATAGTTGTTATCGATCACTAAAACAACAATTTTCGGACCATATCTTTTTATAATTAAAATCCTAAATTCTGCTTTGAATATGTACTTTGTGAGGTAAAGGATTGGGGATGGGTGGTTGGGGGTGTCAAAAAATGTTTATTTTATTAATCCAAAAATCACTAAGAATTTTATTAGTAAGAATAACGTTTTTTTAGTTAATATTATAATTACTTTCACTAATCAACTATGTAAATTTGTCTTCGAAATTACAATAATATTGAAAAAGGTCGTATTTTAAGTACCTAATGTAAATACTACCTACGAAAACTTAACATATTGGTATGAACATATCTATGAACATATCATACATAATAGTATGCAAATGGTATTACATTTTAAGTACAAGAATAAATAAAGATAATGTATAAAAAAACTTAGTTGCTTAGTTTCCTTACTTCCTCTTAAAAAAAAAATGAGTAAAACATAAACAAAAGTTATGATGAAAATGTTTGTAGTAGCTTGTAGCTACATACACAATATACATATTTAATATTGTCACTTTCTAATGATGAAATATTAAGGCTTATTCAGTATTTCAGAGTTTGATTGTATTTCATAGGTTTTAAATAAAAAATTTAAAAATACATAGAATTCTAAATAAAATAAGTTAAATTAAAATTATTTATTACATAAATTAAAAAATAGTATATAATTTTTAATGTTTCATTATGATCTATTCACTATTGTACTAAAATGCATGTAATAAAATATTGTTTTAGATACTCATTATAAAGGATCATGGAGTACACATTCATCAGGGCAAACACAAGGTATGTATTTAAAGTTATTTTATACAAAATAATCTAATACCATAGACTAACTGTACACAAGACTGAATGTCTAAATAACCTGTACATTAATAATTAAGTAAACATTCATTAACTATTTTTCTAGTACCAACACAATTTATTAAAATTACTGTAATTACCTAAGTATTTTTATTTTTAACATGTAAAATAAAAACCGTTCGATTTCTTATTAATTTATTCAAATATATTTAAATAATTTCAAGGTAACAAATAATGATAAGAAAACTAGAAAAAATTGTTTAAATCAAAAGTTTTGTTTATTCGTCCATAAGACCATAACAGCTGTTCTTCTTGGAGTTTAGTAATGGAAATAACTGCAATATAAATGACGTTACTTATTAAAACGTTGTTTATTTTATTAATTTTTACAACAATTGAGTATTTAGTAAAATTAATTTAATTAAATTATAAAATGGTATAAATAAATTGTGTAAAATAGTATAATATATTATTATGTAATTTTGATGAAAAATGCATAATAACATCAATATCATCCTGCAAAATAAACGTAGAATTTAAGATCATATCTTTAAACGATACAGATAACAATATAACATGAATATGGTAGACTATTTGAAAAGAGCATTTTGTTAAAAATATTAAAAAGGGGGAAAAGGTTATCCTAAATAAACACATGGCATGATTGTCACGTTGTCCAGTAAAATCAATAAAATCATAAAAGAGACCTTACCTTTTGATCACCGACTAAACATATATTCTCTCCTTTTTTCCTTTCCCAATCAAGTCAAAAATTTTAGGGGTGAAAAGGTCTAGTACAACAAATGCGCTTGATCACGTGCGAACACTATCAAAATGTTATCGTCTGAGCCGTTTCGGACAGACAATCAAATAACATCCGCATGGATGAGCAATTCTTCTTGCATGTTAAGTAGATGTTATCCATTGATTTTTGTGTTGTTACTCTCTCTCTCTCTCTCTCTCTCTCTCTCTCTTTCTCTCACTGAATAGGTTTATCATAAAGCAAATACAACATAACTCAACAGTATAAAAAATTGAAAAAAGTTAACTTTAGGTACTTTTTAATATAACAAATAGCAATCACACCAAATCATTATACATTTTAAATTTAAATTTATTTATTGAAAGTATGAAGTTAGATAATTCTTTCAATACTTCGTAAATAACTTTAAGTAGGCTATAGTATACTCGTTAAAATCATTTTAATAGTTGATTATTTTAAAGTTGTGATTATTATAATACATATAAAAAATATAATATTTCAATATTAATTCATTACAATAAATAATACATTTGAAGAAAAATTTACATGTGCAATAAAAATAAAATGATTAAATAAGATATTCGTTGATCATAAATTATAAGTAAATATTATGATTCATTATAATATATTGTTTGATAATAAAATATTCTATAGACAGACATCGTTTCAATAAAAGTCTATTCGCAGATATAGTGAATCACATAATTCTCTTGTCGGACGAAAAATAAAAATGGAAGCTCTATTAACTATAAATACCTCGGAGCGCTTTTTTGTGTATTATAAAACAAACTGAACGTGGACATCTAATTCTATTATAATCTCTTGTTATTCGACCACCGTCAAAGGCCACAGGCACAACGGTTCAATGAGCTTTGATTAGACACATCAAAGGCATGTTTGTTATATACCACCGACCGCATTACGAACACCGCCCTAGGCTGGCCCGTCACCTTTGTAAAAGCGTCCAACTGTAAAAGCTGGTAAATGGCGGGGTCTGGTGAGTTTCGTATAATGTTATGAAAATTCAATCAAAACACGCAGATATACGCTCATACATTTTTAAGACAATTTGAATATAATATTTTATTTGAACATTCACATCTAAAATGTCCCTCTGTTGTACAGCAGTAGTGGATCCAGAAGTCATCCAAGAGGGGAGGGGGTGAATTAAAAAAAATTGAATGGTTTTTTTGTTTAGCCAAATATTATAATAGAAAATAACGTTAAAAAGACAGCCCAAAGTGGGAGGGCGAACGCCCCTTCGCCCCCCCCCTCGAATCCGCCACTGCTGTGCAGTAGGTTACAAGTGGGTCACTGTAATGGATGGTGTTAAATTTGAATTCAATGATATAATATCATTGTATAAGAACAACGATTCTGAGCGGAGACGGTATGTCAGTCTAGGTACCTATAAGACATATTATATACATATCTATGGTATTAAAAAAAAACTGACCAATAATAGATACATTTTTACGTATTTTGCCAATATTTGATCTTTAAATCCTTTTAAAAAAAATTGTGACTTTCGATTTTATATTTTTTTTCATCTGCCTTTGAAACAGTTTACTAGAAAAAAAAACTAAAAAAAATGGAAACTGAAAATATCCGTAAACAGCTCAAAATAAGTTAAAATATTTGGGAAATGTTATGGTGTATAGAAAATACTAATATAAACATCATTCAGTCAAAATGTCATGTACCTAAGGTCATTTTTTTAAGAGTTGCACCAAAAACTAAAATCGATTTTTTCGAAAACAAATTTTGCGTATAAATTCCGGTTTTTCTTTAATTTTCTTTTGTTTTTCACGGCGCTTTTGAAAACTACTGGAAAATTGTTACTTTTGACCCCCCCCCTAGGTACCGACTAGATTAACTTTCCCATCAGAAAAGTTACTGTTGAAGAAAATCTAAGCATTTTTACTGTTCTAAAAGGTGATGACAGACGCAAAAAAAAATAAAAAAAACACACATCATTGTAAAATCAATACATTCATCGTTTCACTCAGAACCTAAAAATCAGACAGGACATGCAGCAAGTCATGTTTCGTTTGTATTATATAACATTTAAAGAATGATCAAATAATTTGATATAATTTAACTTAATCAAATTATCGTCCAAAGACTAGAGAAAAAAAATTTTTTCAAAATGTAAAAATAGTGGCAACTGCAGGCAAGTACCATATTAAGATGAATGGTTTACATTGTATTAAATAGTGTAATATGTCATAGTATTTAAACACTTAAGAGGACGCTACACCCGCATGTGTTGTCTCCGTCTTACAAATGTACAACATAGCAAGAACTGTTTGACGCGGGAAAGAATTGAGAAGGCGACAGTCATAACTAAGAAACGATATTTTCATCACATAAAAAGGAGAACTTTGGCTGTGGACGTTGTTTTTGTTTTTTTGATATCACTTATATGAAAAAAGTTCTTCCTGTTTCAAAAACCATTATTGTTTGTGTTTTTCAAGCTTAAATAACTTTTTTTGTATTTCCGATATCGAAAAAATAATAACAACGTTGCACAGGCAAAGTTCTGCTTTTTATGTGAAGAAAATCTCGTTTCTTAGTTATGATTGTAGCCTTCTCTGTTCTTTCCCTCTCAAAACAGTTTTTGCTATGTTGCACATTTGTAAGACGGAGACAACACATGCGGGTGTAGCGTCCCCTTAATACTTTAAACTATATTTAGGTGTAATAACTAATAATATTATTAAAACATTAACGTAAACATTCAATTATTATAGAAACAAAATTACGAGATTCAATTTTAAAGCGTTGATATGGTAAGTTGTTATTAAATATATTCCACATACTTTGGGTAAAACTAAAAAGAGATAATTACTTCATAAAATTAACAATGCATTCAAATTTTTAGTTTTAAACCTGTTAAAATCTAAAATTTCACATTTCATTTAAATAAATTTAAAAAAAAGGTGGGCAGTGGGTGTCGCTCTGCTGTACAGTAGGTTACAAGTGGGTCACTGTATAATGGATGGTATTAAATTTGAATTCAATGATATAATATCATTGTATAAGAAAAACGATTCTGAGCGGTGATGGTATGTCAGTCTATGTATAAGGCATATTATATACATATCTATGGTATTAAACAAAAAATTGACCTATAATCACAGATATAGATAATATCTGTGCCTATAATAGGTACCTATAATAAATTCCAAATTAATCATATCACAATATCCATTAGATACTTATAACGCGTTATACATCAACAAAAACCGTGATACTATCATAGATATATAATAGTACACTTTAGAAGTTTCAAGTACCCACGAATAGTATTATTCAATCACAACAAAATAACTAAAATCGTAATTCTTGGTTTAAATATGAAATTTTGTCTAAATTTGAAATTAAAATGTCTGTAAAAAATAAGTGTGTTTATATATTTTTTAGATTTTTTGGTTACAGTATGAATTATTTAAGAGAATCTTTGTTTTAAATTTTCAACTCTTAGTTATAAAAACTGAACATTTTATAATTTTTTAATTCCAACGATTGATAATTTTCGAGATTTTGATAAATTTTGTCAAAATTCCAACTTTAAATGCTTATAAAAAAAAATCGTGCCTATGTATTTTTAATATTTTTCAACTGATATTGTAACAATATATCAGGAGCCTTGTATTAAATTTTTACACTTTTTGGCCCAACAGATAAAACTTTATTGATATTTATAGAAAAAAAAACTAAAAAAAATTGAAAGCTGTAAATGTCCATAAACAGCTCAAAAAGAGTCAAAATATTTTCAAAATTGTATGGTGTATAGAAAATGCTAATTTAAACATTGAGTGAAATTTTCATGTATCTACAGTTGTTCGTTTTTGAATTGCAACAAAATAAGGAAATCGCTACATGAGTAATCGAGTGAATATCCAATGTTGTAAAAATTTGAATTTCAAACGCTCATAAAAATTTAACTTGACTGTCCGGTAGAGATTTTTTTATTGATAAAGGTAGTTAATCTTATAAGGAATCTTGTGTTTCATTTTCAAATCTTAGATTTAAAAAGAAAAATTTTTACGAATTCTTAACTCAAAATAATTTGCTAATTTTCGTGATTTTTCCATATTTTGTCAATTTTTGAACTTTAAATGCTTATAAAAAAAAATTGTGACTAAGGATTTTTAATATTTTTCATCTGCCTTTGAAACAACGTATTAGGAGCCTTCTATTAAATTTTCAAGCT